TATTCTTAGATTGGAGCTAGAATTAACCCAAAATCCTTTCCTAAATCTCTGTTTTCTATCTGCCTCTGGTTCACCTTTGATGTCTTTGTTATTTTATGGCAGAAAATCATCTCCCTGGAACAAAAGCACTTTCTATAAACTTTAAAAAAATTTTTTTTCTCAATCAGTAATATAAGAAAATGAAAACATTGGCTATGTCTCCAGAGATTTTTGTGTTTGGGGTGCAGAGACACCTTTATTACATTGAATGTCTAGATACTCTATATTTTAAAAAAAATCTTAACAGGTTCACACCATGTTTTATCTTTAAAATAGATGTTTTTATATATACATAATAAGAAAGTTTAAAATATATGGTTGGAAGTTTGATTTGTAATACATTGCTATAATTTATGTTTCATTTAAAAAATAATTGCCTGATAAATGAGAATTATTATACTATAAATTATATAGGGGACACATATGGATCAAAGGCCAATTTGCATAATTGTGGAACCATATTAATCTTACTTTTGGGGAATGATGTCTTTCAGCATTTCAAAAACAAGGTTTTTTGTTTGTTTGTTTTGTCATATTCTGCCTACATACACTTTAGCTATGTATGGTAGTTTCGTAATTTCATGTCAGCTTGAAGATATATAAAAGTGTAGGTTGTGGTAATCAGGTTGCAGCCTGATGGTTCCTACTTGTGGATTTTGCCTTCTCTTAAGGAGGGCCATGAGAACCTCCCCCTCTCTATCTGCCTTGTCTTTCCTGCTGGCAAGCCACTCTGGGATCTGGTGTATCCCAGTGATGCTATCACCACCATTGGATCCGCAGGACCATGCACCCACTGGCCTGTGATCTTCCTCCATTCTGCATCTTTGTGTGTGGCTGTGTGAGTCTGAAGAGGGATTTATGGACTAGTCACTGGATTATGGGGTGTGTCACTGGATTTGTTTCTCTTGTCAACCTGGCTTAAAACACTAAGTAAACTCTCCATAGTCAAGTTTATAAAATTGTAATATGAACAGTGAATTTGTTTCAATAATAACACAGTTTTAAATTTTCTCTTATAGTAACTCTCGCCTGTTTAGTTTCTACTTCAACCTAATTTAAATTGTTTTATATTTTTCAGTTATTAAGTACAACCGGGAAAAACTGAAAGAGGACCAAATCAATGAAAATGTATGCTTAATCATGACTCACATTTGATGACAACATTTTGTTGTGCATAATTTTAAGCTTACTATCATGAAATGTAACCATTTGAATATCAGACTTAGGATAATTAGAAAAGAATCAACTGATCACGCACAGATGTACTGTGATTTATTCCAATGGTACTATTAGGATTACAAAGGCAATCACTAAAATTTCAGTTTCGAGAAATAGCTTGTCAGGAGAAGAAAAGTATTTTAAGAAGAACAAAATCATTTAATGTATTTTGTAGGTAATGATTCCTTTTTGAATCATAATTGCAATGTTGGTCATGTTTTTCCCTAGTATGCTGTTGATAGAAGGTGCACAGAGGTGCAAAGAAATGCTTGATTTTAACCAATTTATTCTTTCTAGCCTCTTTCAAGACTTGGCCACAACAGACACATTGTACACCCATATTTGACAGCTATTGGGGGCATTTAATTGAGGGGTGATGTACACCAATACCATTTCCAAGTTTTCTAGTGTAGTGTTTCCTATAGTTCATTGATTACTCATTCATGTCGTTCTATGGAAAGCAAACACTAGCTTTGATGTAGAATTATACTGGTGTAATCAGGGAAGGAGGGACTTTTCAAACAGCAGCTGGAGCTTGCTAGTACCTACAATTTAAGCTGGCTTTCTTCTCTTTTCTTTTTTGTCTTTCTTGATCTATTTTCTCTTGTTAGCTTTATTTGGAAAATAAGAACTGAAACTAGCAGTGATTCTATTTTTTTTCCTTTCCAAATTTTTAAAACCTAATAGCTGCTGATATTATAATAAACCTTTCTCATATCAGTTTTAGAAAGTTATTAAACATACATTATCTTATTACACAGCAGTATTGTTTTGGTTGGTATAGATATTCTTTCATAGATGAAATAACCGTGAGAAATGTGGCACAAAGCAAGAAGTGAAAAGGGGATTTGATTATCAAAGCATTTTACTGTAGTAACATGAAGCTAGGCATGCTTTTTTATTGTTAATTTACATTTTTTTAAAACCTGGATTGATTAAAAAAGGTGCTGAATACTAAAATTTTTCCCCATACAGGGCCTAACAAATGGATTAAGTTAAGGATCTGAACATGTGTGACTCAGACACGTCACTTTTTATTTCTTCTCTGAAGTCAAATATCTGTCTGGAAGCACGCTCTCTACTTCTTATATTTTACAAACATTGCAGTACATTTGGAGACCTGTTGCTATCCAGTTCTGACTAAAATTTCAGTTAGAAATAGTAAACCTTCATCTGTCTTCATTATGGTCAATGAAGACATTGCTAAATGTGATGAAGAAGACAGGGAATATATGTCTTGAATCTTTTATATATCACTATAATTTTATATATTTATAAATATGTATTTTTGATAAAACAGAGAGAGCATAACACTCAAACATAAAAATGTCTATACATACACAGTTCAGGGACATTGATCACTTACCTCAACTACCAACTCTTGAGGCTGCATTTTAACAAATAAGTAACAACCATTCTCCTGCCCTTAACAGCACACCTCATGATTTACTCCCCTCTCCCCTCTCACAGGATTACACTGAGGGAAATGATGTCAAATCCAAGCATTTGATGTTATTAATATTATTTGATATATATGTCTAATAGACAATTGTCTATTTGAAGAATAGTTGTCAATTACATTCCATTTTTATATTAAAATGTTTATATTTTCTTAGTATACCTTTACTTTCTCACTGTTATTATTTTTAATTGTTTTAAAGCAAATTTTTAAAGCATTTCTCACATAAATGAAAAAAAGAAAATCTGGCTGATTGTGATACTCAAAATTTTGATGTAATTAAAAGTCAATATTTGTGTTTTAGAGGTTGTTGTTGACCTGATTGATAGATTAGAGACAGAGTCGTAAGAAGTGGTTGTAGGAATATAAAAGGGAAGTTATTCATTAAAACTTCTTTTAAATATTGGTGATAAAAGACTTTTACTGCTTTGCGACCAAGTAATAGAATATAAGTGGGATTTATTTATATTTTGCCATTTCAGAGGTGTAATTAGTAACATAGACAGTTGAATGAAAAATAAATAAAAAGAAGCAGCATCAAGAGGAGAGCACATGTCTGATTGGCAAGACAAAGAAAAAAAGGTTAACAAAAATTTAACTCATAATATTTTAGTCAATTTTGACTCAGGATAGGAGCACCCTGCAGCATTTCTAAGCTGTAACATTGATGGAAGTAGATTGCCATATTTTTTCCTAGATCGCTGATGGACTTAAACTGCCAGCCTATTTCTTAGTAGCTAAGTCTTTAACCAGCATGCTATCAAGGTGGTTGCTACACAAGACTCTCATAAATGTGTAAAACACCATTTCCGTTGTATTAGGAAAATGCAATTTTAGGTTACTTCAGTCGGTTATAAAAAAATGAAAAACTATTAGAAGAAAGTTTTTCTTCTTATCTTCAGTTCTAATATGAGTTGTTCTCTATTTTTTAATATAAAGGTACCGAAACCCCAATAACAAATCCATTGCCATTGAGTTGATTCTGAATCATAGCTGCCATAAATAGGGTTTTCAAAGCTATGAATCTTTACAGGCGCCGAGAGTCTCATCTTTCTCCTAAGAAGCAGTTTGGATCAGCTGTGAGCAGCTGAGCAGTTCTGACATAAGGATGGAGTATCACCCCTTTACTCAGGTTACAGCCCGGATGTAATTGAGAGGAAGTTTCCTTGGGGGTATGGCATTTTTCCTGAATAAATAGACACTGTAGAAAGCACACTTGCTTTTTACTAAGTTTGATAGGTTGGCTCATCAACCTCCAGTTCTTTGGACTTAAACAAACAATCTGATAAGGTTCTTACTGTTTTTGGCAGTCATCAGCAACTTCCATCTGATCTGCCATCCTTTGATTTATTTGTATCTCCAGTCATAAGTTTGACGTAATGAGCTTAGATTTAATCACCTCTTCAGCCTGTGATAATCCCACCAATCCTGGGTACTTCAATCCCTGAAGGCACACGAGCCAAGAGAAGTTGACAAAGTATAGACTGTGGTAGTGCGTTTTTTTTCAATTTGGCAGCACCAGTATTTTCAGTGGTGTGAGTAGAGACCAAGTGTTCCCTGTAACGCGACCTAACAAAATGTAGTCAACTGTTTGATAGAATCTACTGTGAGTAGCTCAAGTAATTGCAAGAAAATTAGGATGGGATGCAAAAAGGAAAGGACTAAATAGATGCTGTGGAAGACTTGCTTGCTTTTTGCTTGGTCTGGATTCTACATCTGGCACATCAACATTTAGTTCTTTGGAACTAAACCAACTGTCTGCCATACTGCCTGCTGATTCCAGGAGCCATCAGTCGCCTGTCATCTAATATGTTTACCTTGGATTTGCCTGCTCCTTCAATCTCAATATTGGCCTACTGACCTTGGAGCCTGTGGTGCTTCCGCTGTTCATGGGTTCATCCGCCCCAGAAACTATGTGGGTATAGGATTCCAGCTTAATATCTATCAACTGACTTCTCGATATAAATATCTCCATTTATATATTTAAAGACAGTTTTATTAACACAAAACCCACATCACACAATTCAATAGTTCAATCATATAAAGAAGAGTGTACAATCATTATCACAATCAATTTTGGAAAAATTTCTTCTTTCTTGTACTCATTTTAATTAGCTCCCCATTTCTCTGCAACCTCCCCCTGCCATATTCTCAAGAAACCACTAACGCAGTTACTGTCTCTATAGGCTTGGTCATCCTGGATTTCATATATATAAAAATATGCTCCAAAAATGACTAACCAAAAACATAACATTAACAAAGTAAAACAGAAAAGCCTTAATATATACTTACCTGGCAAGGGAGATACCACGATCACGAAGGTGGTTTTCCCAGCGTGAGGCTTATCCATTGCACTGAGGGTATGCTGACGCCTGCGATTTCCCCAAATGCTGGAAACTGGACTGCATAATTAGTGGTAGTGGGGGACTGCGTTCATGCTCTCCCCTGGGGGAAAAAAAAAGAAAAACCTTAATATATAAGAAAGCAGAAACATGAAAAATTAGAATAGATTTTAAATGAGTCAAAAAGGAGATCAAATGTGTTGAATTTTAACCTAACTGCATCTTCAACAAACCAATTTCCAATGCACTTTGTATGATAGCAGGGCTACTCACATCCCTGGTCTCCTATGACCATAGGAGATTCACAGGAGCTCAATCTATGCGTGGACCCTGCAAATGGATTTGGGGATTTCACTATTGTCCATAGCCTCCTGCAAACCACACGTTCCTAGTTTAAACTCTGATCCCATTCCCTCCTTAAGATTTTGATTATATTATTTACAGTCTGTGGATTATACAAGTTGGTATGCTTCTTTCATGTGAACTTAGTTGATGCCTCACTTAGATGGCTGGTTGAAGACAAGCCTTTAGAACACCAGAAGCTATTACTTCTGACAGCCAGGCAACAGTGAGTTTCTTCATTACATTTTGCTCTAGCACCCATATCTTTAGTGAATCTCTTCATATGGGTAAGACTCAAGCAGGGCTGTGTCATAAGAATGAATTGTTCTTAGATTGCACTAGAATTAAGTGGGAGTCCAAAATCCATTTGTATTTCTATAATTTATCTATGTCTCTTTCATTTTAGAGACATTACCATTTTATGCTAGAGAACATTTTCAATCATCTCCCTGGGACATAAGCTGATTCTATTTATGGTGGCATTAAATTAGCCAGTGGTATAGAATGTAAATCCCAGTTGTGAAAAGTAAATTATGCAAGTATAGGCCAGTTATTAACTTCAACACATGAAATGTCGATTTACACAGGTTAAACCGTTAAGTAACTGGATACAATTAACACAAATAATGGGTGTTGGTGGTTGAGCAAAAGTTTCAATAATATTTATGGATAGCAGCAAAACCACACCTATCAGAATAATGCATGGTTTAATAAATCAAAAAGGACATTAAAATACGAAGTATATGGTAGTCTGGCCCAACTTTCACTGGGCACGCTCAGGTCCAACAACTGCCAGTTCTATACCTTTCAGATAACAGTCGTCTGCTTCTTGTCACACTAAGGAGTTTTAGCCTTATGTCCAAAGGCTGCAGTTGTTTGAGAAAAATCCCAGTTCCCTCAGTGGGCCTTCCACAACAAGTCCTCACAGTGTGGTCTAAAGTCCCAGTAGTTTATAGCACATATCTTGGATCACCAAGGGCTATATAGAAAGTAGGTCAAAAGTATCCGTTTTGGAACATAGCATCAGGTATCATCTCCTCCTGGATTCTATACAAGTATTGGTGAGCTTTCTTCCCCAGATGCCATATCCTTGATTCTTTAGAGATCCAAGCCTAACATACCACCTCTTTACAGTTGGCTGTCTAATGCTCACCCAGGAAAAAAAACCAGCATTTTAGGCTGTCAAAACCTAGGTATTTATTCCCAAGAAAACATGTTTAAATGTGCATCTGTGATATCAGGTCATTCATTATATACACATGCTATTGTCAAAATATGTGTATTATTCATAGATAAATATACATAGACAAGTATTATACAAAGATACATAAATAAACAATGACTTTCCCTGGTGGTGTAGTAGGAGCCTGTGCGAAGTCATGTTTATGAGTTGAGTTGTGATCTGCATGGTTGCCAGTTCCCAAACCACCAGCAGCTCAGTGGAGAAAGACTGGGCTTCCTATTTCACTAACAGTTCCAGTCTCAGACTCTCATAGAGGCAGGGGCTCACTTTGAGTCAGCATTGACTCATTGGCAGTGGGATTGGCTTTTAGTTTGGTGTATCTCTGGTGGCATAGTAGTTATGCACTGGACTGCTAACACCAAGGTCAACAGTTTGAAACTACTAGCCACTCCACAGAAAAAAGGTGACCATGCAAAAGGAATATGACTTGAGAGCTTTGAGGATGTCAAATCAAAGAACATATAATTTTTTAGGGAATATCTAGTAGAAACACTTTCAGCAGTATAAAGACCTAGATGATGGATATATTTGCTTCAAATTTTGATATATTTGTTTTATAAAAGTTTCATTGAATGATCAGCACACAATAACATGATTTTGGAGCATTATTTTTTTTAATTTAGCCTTGTAAATTAGTGTTGACATCATTTGTGCTTTTATCCCCAACAATTTTGTTAGCACACAATTTACATATCATGGAATTGAATAGTTCAATCATTCAAACATACCAAGGGGAAGTTATACATTCACTACCACCTCCATCCTAGAGCAGTCCCTTCCCCTATGGTTGATTTGCCCCCAAAGTTAGGTGTTCAATGAACATCAGTCCCAGGGCTCCCTCCCCCATCCCACCTTCATTATTGAACCCCGAACTCGCCCTCCCCTCCCTTCCACCCATCCCCCTCTCTTACATTCTCTGTAACACCTTGGATCAGTTATTATCATTGTACATCTGCTCTTCTGCGTTTCACAGCTGGGAAACCCCAAAGAAAACTATGAAAAATAAACTGCACTAAGGTGGTAAGGATAAGATCATATTAGCATAAGGGCAAAAATTCAAATAATCCATGAGAGGGAGAAGACCCCCGTCGACATTCAAGAAGCCAGGAAAGAAGTTGTTGTCATGGAACATCTAAGAGATAACTTGCCCCCAGAACAAATTCAGGATGTTGTTGCTTTTGGGGGCTGATTTATCTTTGACACATGACAATCTTATGTATAACATAACAAAATATTGCCTAGTACTGTGTCATATTTATCATCAAAGGTTATGTAGACTTGGTTTTGTGGCTCAACATTATCTTCCTGGGAGCTTTCATTTTTGTTCTCTCCATCAACCATGAATATCCTTTTCTAAGGATTAATAATTCCTGATAACATATTGAAAATAAGTTCCTCCATCCTTCTCCTAAATAATATTATTGATACATTTCTTCTTCAAACAACGATTTGTCTGATTTTCTGGCAGTCCTTGGTACAGTCAATATTCTTCACCAACATCAAAATTCAAATGAGACACCTCATCTTTGATCTTTCTTTTTCACTGCCCTGCTTTCACACATATAATAGAAACTGGAAAGGTCATGTATTGGTTGGCGTGCACCTCAGTCATCAATGTGAAATATTTTTCTTTTAACCCTGTAAAGAATTATTTTGCAGCATATTTGCTTATTCTAATAATATATAATTTGTCTTATTGACTGCTACTTCTATGGGTATTGATTGTTGACACAAGTAGAATAAAAACTCTGACCTCATTTTTTTTCTATGTACCATATGCTGTTTATTGTTTTAGTTGTGAGATTTTTTTTTCTTCACATTTAGGTACAATCCTGACTGTTTTTCATGTGCAAATGCATAAATAATATAATCTTAGACCTTTATTAATAAACAAAGCAAATTGTCTTAATTTTCAGCACGAAACATAGTGTGGTGAACATATCAGAGGTTATTAATGAGTATTCTTCCAGTCTTGATGCACATTATTCTTCATATTGTCAACTTCTTGGATTATCTGTTCAGTATAGGCAAATAAGCAAATAAAGTCAAAGGATACAACCTTGATGCAGTCCATTTATAATTAGTATCAGCTTGCTCTATGTGAAAAATTGCCACTTGACATACATACAGGCTCTGCATGAGCATGCTTAAGCGATTTTGAATTCCCATTCTTGGTAGTGTTTTCCAAAATTTGTTGTGATTCACAGAGTCAATGTCAAATTCCTTTATATAGTTGACAAAGTAAAGGTAAACTTTTCTCTGCTATTTTCTGCTTTCGATAAAAATCCATCTGACATCAATAATCATTGTCCATGTTCAATATCCTCATTTGAATCAGGTTTAAATATCTAGTATTTCCTACTAAGTGTACAGTTGTAGTTATTTTTAAAAATATCTTTAGGTAAATGTTAATAGTATGTAATACTAACGGAATCATTCATTAATGTTCTTACCCTGCACCACTCAATTGAAGCATTTCAATGGGTATTTTGCCAATTCCTGGAACTTTATTTTCCAACAATCCCTTTAGTACAGTTTGGACTTCATTCCTTTAGCACCAGTGATTTTTGATCATGTTATCTCCTGACAGAGTTGAATAAAAATCAATTATTTTTGATGCCATGGCTGTATGTATTACTTCCATTTCTCTCGTTGCTTTCTTTGTCATTTACTTTTTCTCCTAGTGAATCTGTTAGTAATATGATAAGTCATATGTGATTGGGAATTACAAATGAGATGCATGTTTTCAAGTGTCATGTATCTATTTTCTCAGAAACATTAATATTGCAGTTTGATAGACATATATCACAGTATCTCAGTGTCACACATTATCATTCATTTTTGCTCTAATTGCATCTATGAATGTGGAATACCATTTTTGTTTTATTTGATTGCAAGTGATAGAAGAGCTCAACATTCAAAAGAAAAGTAGGAGATGTTGCTTCAAATTAATTAAAGCTCGTAAGTGAATACCTTCAGATATTTCTAGATATGTATTCAGGGACTTATTCCAGGATAAGGATTCTTTCTCCTTTCCATTTCATCTTCAGACTGTCTCTCGTTTTATGTCTTAATATAGTCAAAATAAATTTAGAATTTTCAATTTTTAAAGGTTTACATATTTGAAAACATCGAAAAGGGATATAAAATTGGTATGGTTTAGATTAAGTTTCCATTTAGCTAAATCAGCCACTTTTAGTACTGGAATCATAGCATGATTTGTATGTCCACCTTTTTGGGATGGAGTTCACACTGAGAAATAAGGGAGAGCAGAGGTTTCTCCAAAGAATGTTGAGAGGCATCATCACAGATTCTGGTAGCAAAGCCCCCTGCTATCTACACAACTTGTATTCATTGCGAAACCATTCAATGTGCCTCCCAATCTACTAAACACTTCTATTCATATATAGTAATGTATACACAGAGAGATTCTGTACATTTTTTAAAAAGACAAAGATACACACACCACACAGACACACCCTGGGTTTTCTTGCATTGTTACTCATTAGTTGTGTACAATT